TAAATAATGACTAGCCAAAATAGATTTTAAGGCCCAAAGTAGTAAGTAATAAAGAGGATCCTTTTTAATGATTAAAAAAAACCACTCCACCCATAAAAAAAGAGTAATCCTAAATCTGAGAGCATATAACAAGATGTTCTCAACATTTACAAAACAGAACTTGACATTTACAAAACAAAGCAAGGAGAAATTGACAAATCTGCAATTACAGAGAACAATCATCAGAATTCAGAAACTAGGAGACCATGGAGATTTTTTAAAATGCTAAGAATGTAAAAATATGAATGACATAATTTACATTTCTTATCTGTTGGACATTTATAGAACGCTGATGCCAAAATTTAGAGAATCACAATCTCTACAGAAACTGAACATGTATTAGCCTACAAAGCAAGGCTTCACAAATACCAAAGAATCAAAATGATACAGAACAGGAATAAGAAGCTTTTAAAAAGTAACATTCAATGAACACAAAGAGAGTACTTAGAATTAAAATAAGGCAGTAGAAGAGAAAAAACTCAGCAGTATGTGTGGAAAGTAAAAGAAGAAATTTCCCAGCAAGTAGACTAAAAAGACAAAGAAGTAGAAAATGGGAGAGAAAAGTTAAGAATATTAAAGCATCAGTTTAGCAGTTCTAACATTCCCAAAATAGGGATTTCAAAAAAGAGAACAGAAGGGGGTTTTCTTAGGGTTTTCTTTTATTAAAAGACCAGGCCAAACTGAAGTCTGTGACTCAAGAGACAGACATGCTAAGGTTTGTCAAAGCCAGGAGGCCTGCTGCGTTTCTAACCTCGGTTAGGGTGTCCAAGCAAAGCTGTCTTCAAATGCTTCTCTGTGTTTCACTGGTCATGACCAAAGGATGGAGAAGCTGCTGCTCTCTCCTCTGTGCCCATTTACAGAAGCTCATTCACCTGACCACATTCCCGTTGATGTCCCCTGGCTGGCCCATGCCGTCTAGGACCTCCTAAATGCACTGACTCTGGTGAACCCCATTTTCCTAGGACACACTCATGACCTGGCTTCTCTGACTTCCCCAGAAGAGGTTTTTAAAGCTATTTTTTTTATAAAAAGCCCCAGACTGTGACTCAAAAACTCCATTCAGTGTATTTTCTCCTGGAAATTCTATCTGTTACAATACTGAATTTAAAACTTACATGCATAAGTTTTATGCATATAAGTGATCATACACCAAGAAAAGCAGGGATTCAGTTAACACGGATGTCAGTATAGTAGTTGCTCTTGGAAGCAATAGAGGATGTGAAGTCTCAGGACCAGGGGCTCAGAATATGACACTGATGTTCTGCTTTGTTAAGAAGTCTTGATGTGAACATGGGTGATAGCTTGATTATTGTTGTTTAACTTGTACATATAGACTTTATATATTCTTATGGTTTTTGAGACATTTAAACTTTTTTTTTAAAGTATGAATGGGTAGAGTTTCTATCAGCAATATATTTTAGCATCAAAAAATAAAATGTTGCCACCAAGGGAGAATGATGAGGAAGTCACTATATTTATTAAGTGGGTGCCACGTCCTTTGAAATAGCATGTTTGTGGGCCTGGTAGAGGCCGGCCAGTAGGCAAAGGGTTGAAAATAAATTAGTAGGTGTGGTAGAGTCTATTAATGCTCCAAATACCCCCTGCCACTCTCTGGGAAAGGATGACACTTCCCACTCTATTAATGTTAGGTTTGGGACTGGAGTTCAAGCCCAAGTGACATGTGTCAGCTCTGAGTGGAATCTTGAAAGCATCCCATGGTTTTGCTATCATGAGGCCAACATACCGCAGACAGGGACAACTCCTCGAGCCTAGGTCCCAGAATTGCAGCTGACCAACAACAGATAATAATGAGAACAAGATATAAACCCGTGTTTTGCCTGGGGTTGTTCATTAGACTAAGTGACAGTAGACTACTCTTCAGAAAACTTGGCAGTAGCAAAGAAAAGCAGAAGTCTAAAGCTATATAATGTGAGGAAAGGATTTGGTTATTTTATATGACGCCTAGGTATGTTGAGAGACAGAGATGAGTATTAGAGAATAAAAATACAAATTAAAGAGGAGAATGACAGACAGTGTTAAGTGCATGAGCAATGGAAAAGGGTAAGATTAAGGACACAGAGCAGGGCCTGGGCCTCACAGATGAGAGATACAATGCTCTGTCAGAGACTGTAACAAAGAAAGAAAATTGGTGAAAATAGAAGTGAAAGGAAGAAATCTGAGTAAGTACAAGGAAGATAGTCCAATTTTTTGAGAGAGTTATTGGTGAGGATAGATGCGAAGAGTGAAACGCAGACAAAAAGTAAAGCACTTAAGAGTGACGGTTATAATGGCATTTTTCACAGAACTAAAACAATTTTACAGTTTGTGTGAAACCCTAAAAGATCTCAAACAGCCAAAGCAATCTTGAGAAAGAAAAAGGTGGAGGTATCCCACTTTTTGGTTTCAAACTATACTACAAAGCTACAGTAAGTGAAACAGAATGGTACTAACATAAAAACAGATGCGCAGATCAATGGAACAGAATAAGAATGCCCAGAATTAACCCACACATACTGAACAGTTAATTTACAACAAAGGAGCTAAGAACATACAATGGAGAAAGGACAGTCTCTTCAATAAATGACACTGGGAAAACTTGATAGCTACATGCAAAAGAATGAAACTAGACTGCTATCTTTCATCATATACAAAAATTAATTCAAGTTGGATTAAAGACTTGAATGTAAGACCTGAAAACATAAAGTTTCTAAAAAAAAAAAAAAACATAGGTAGTAAGGTTCTTGATAAGCTCCTTGTCTTGGTGATTTTTTTTTGGATGTGACTCCAAAGCCAAGGGAAACAAAAGCAAACATAAACAAATGGTATTACACTAAACTAAAAAGCTTCTGTACAGCAAATGAAACCGGAAGTAAAATTAAAAAGTAACCAATTGAGTGGTTACTTTTACTATACAAAATATATTGAAAAACTCACACAACTCAACAACATAAAAACAAAATCACCAAATTGTAAAATGGGCAGATGATCTAAAGTTCCAGGAGTGTCCCGCCTTTTGATGTTTCTGCACCACACTAGAAAAAGAAGAGTTGTCTTGGGCCACACATTAAATACACTGTGACATGTAATCATAAAAAACATCTCGTAATGTGTTTAGTAAATTTACGATTTTGTGTTGGGCTGCTTCACTGCCATCCTGGGCTGCATGTGGCCTGTGGGCCACAGGTTGGATACCCGTGACAGAAATTTTTCCAAAGAAGGCATACGAATGGCCAACAGGCACATAAGATGTTCAACATTACTAATTATCAGGAAAATGCAAATCAAAACCACAATGAGACATCACCTCACACTTGTTATGGTGGCTTTTATCAAAAAGACATCAAATAACCAGTGTTGTAAAGGATGTGAAGAAAAGAGAACCCTTGTAAACTGGTGCAGCCACCATGGAAAACTGTACGGAGATTCCCCAAAAAGTTAAGGTTAGAACTACCACATCACCCAGCTATTCCACTTCTGGATATTTATCTGAAGAATACAAAAACACAAACTCAAAAAGAGATATGCACCCTTAGGTTCACTGAAACATTATTTACAATAGTCAAGATGTGGCAATAACCTAAGTGTCCAAAAATGAATGCAAGATTAAAGAAGTAAACACACATACATACACACAATGGAATACTACTCAGCCATAGAAAGGAAACGCCATTTGCAACAACATGAATGGACCCTGAGGGTATTATGCCAAGTGAAAAAAAAATCAGACATAGTAAGACAAATATTGTGATATCACTTATATGTGGAATCTAAAAAGAAATGAACAAATAAACAAAACAAATTCGCAGGCACAGAATACAGATTAGTGGTTACTAGAGGGGATGGGAATTGGAGGGAAGGTAGAAATGGTTGAAGGGATCAGTTTTGTGGTGATGGATGGGAATTAGACGTACAGTGGTGAACACTATGTAGTATACATAGATATCTAATTATAATATACTCTTGAAATTTATACACACACACATACACACGCAGGATCCGGCACAAATAATGCCCCATTTTTATTACAAAATATTTTATTACAGAATCATAAGCATGTAATCCCGTAACAGCACAATATCACACTCAAACACATAGCATATGAAATTTTAGGTAAAATGTTCAAATTAAAACTATAAATTATTACACCCATGTTATTACCCTGCCAAGCACACTCAAGCAAGCATTACTTCTGCCGGACCCTGTATATACATATATAGTCTTGTATACCAATTTTACCACAACTGTAATTTTTTTAAAAAGTAGGGAGGTTGGTTTTAAAGAGCCAGCATGCAGTCTAGGTGCATGTTGGTACTACACTCCCTGATTTTCAGTCAGTGAAATGTTCACCCAGCTACCTGCTAATAACCACAAAAGTTATATACAATTACAATTTATATGTATATACACACACACACACACACACAATTACACACTCACACACATATAAACTGGCTTTAGGACTATTCATCAGTATTTTGAGGAAATAAATACAGCAAAGCAAAATATTTTCAAAGAAAATTGAAAGAAATTTTCTTCTAAATACTATATAGTGATTTGTCAATAATCATTAAAAGCTTTAGTAAGATATTTTATATAATACATTTTGTTATGTGTAAGTTTCTGAATTTTCATAAATTAAATGTTAACATATTTCTGACATGTGATTGAAAGAGTAAATTAAAAAAATAATTTGAAAATGAGTATAGTACCAACTAAATTTTATCCCAAGATTCGGTGGATTTTTTTTATCAATTGTGCAATTAGTTACTGAATTGAACTACTCAAATATTTGATTTCAGATTCATTCAAGCTTACAATTACATTTAGAAAAGTATTATATTTCTTTCTACAAGTCATTTTGCCTTTGATTTCCTTAAAGTATTTTACTGCACATGTAGAAATTAAATAATGCAATGTAATCTCTGCTAAATTAATAAAAGAAAACTTGATTCCATAATCACCCTGGTAAAGACTGGTTCTAAGCTATTTGGAGCAGTAGTTGGACAAAATCTTCTCTTTCTCCATGTTTCACATCTATTTTCCCTTGTGATTTTTCCATTCGGGGGAGGAGATGGAGGAGGAATAGGCATCATGTAACTGTTAATGTTCAGAAGTTGATATCGATTCATTCCTTGGGAATTGTCCATGGAGTTCCTGAACTTCATCACTGCCTTCTTGCCCTGTAATCACATTTCATGACATAAGAACCAGTGAACAGAGAAGTGGTGACTCGATGTCACCTAAAATTAGAGACAAGGCTGTATGATTGACATTGCATGCAAACACAACTGACAAAAATAGGCAAACTCAGAACAGTCTAGTCTGTTTGAAGTATCCACAGCAAATTAAATTTTCATCAATTTCTAACCTATCTAAATATATTTTTAAACCAAATATACAGTGATTGCATCTTTATAGTATCTTTTGGATTTTTCCTCAACAACTCATTAAATCTATGTATAATTAAACAATTTAGAATTGATAAGTTTGAAGTGTTTACTTTGAAGTAGGGTTGGCTAGTCTACCTAACAATGAGATGTTAGCACTGTCTTCATATTCATTGCACCCATCCAGGTGTTTTAATAGTCCTCGATAATATAATATTAAGGTACCAAATACAGATGTTAACCCAAGGCTCTTTTCAGCTTATTTTTTCCTAGAAATTCAACTCATCCAGATAAAGCTATCCAAAATAATTACACAAGTACACTGACGTAAATGTAAAGATACACATATATAACAAATTTAGTTGAACCTTCAAGCACATCAAGAGGAGAATATTAAACTAAATTTTGCTTTGTTTTTATAATAGATTCTCACCAAGTTCAAAAAAACAGTGTTAATCTATCCATCCAGATATGAAAAGGACCATGAGTTATAATCATACATTTCTTTTAAATAATTTACATATAATTTTGATAAAAGTGAGAATAACTGGAAGATTTGACCATAAGGTTGTCATAGGGATTTGGATTATTGGGGAAGATATCATTTTGCATTTTATAAATCTTTCTATTATTTGAAAGTTTAATCAACATGTATTACCTCAACAGTTAAAAGCACCAGTTATAATTGATTACGTTACATCTTTCAGGTATATTTGAGTCTTTAAATTTTCACAAATTGATAATTTTTGTGTATCTGAGGTAGTTTTCCAAACTTTAAATCATTTTCAATTATTTTTATCCACTTTATACACATTTATTTTTTCTACTTTTAAATCATTTTTTAATTTTTCAATTACTGTTGACATACATTATTATATTAGTTTCAGAGGTACACCCCAGTGATTTGACATTATATAACTGACTGATTATCCTGACAAATAACATACCTGATACCACATATAGTTATTACAATATTACCAACTATATTCCCTACGATGTACTTTACATCCCTACAGCTGTGCTGCAACAACCAGTTTGTATTTCTTAATCTCTTTACCTTTTTCATCCCTCCACCCCTCTCCCATTTGGCAACTGTCAAAATATTCTCTGTATTTATAAGTCTGTTTCTGTTCTGTTTATTTCGTTTTTTAGATTCAGTTGTTGGTAGATATGTATTTATTGCCTTTTTACTGTTCATATATTTATTCCTTTTCTTCTTCTTAAAGAAGACCCTTTAATATTTCATATAATACTAGTTTTGTGGTGATGAACTCCTTAACCTTTTCTTGTCTGGGAAGCTCTTTATCTGCCCTTCCATTCTAAATGATAGCTTTTCTGGGTAGAATAATCTTGGCTGGATGTTCTTGCTTTTCATCACTTTGAATATTTCTTGCCAATTCCCTTTAGCCTGCAAAGTTTCTGTTGAGAAATCAGCTGACAGTATTAGGGGAATGTCCTTGTAGTTAACTAACTGATATTTTCTTGCTGCTTTTAGATTCTGTCTTTAATTTTTTGCATTTTAATTATGATGTGTCTTGGTATGAGCCTCTTTGGGTTCATGTTGTTCAGGACTCTGCACTTCCTGGGCTTGAATGTCTATTTCCTTCACCAGGTTAGAGAAGTTTTCTGTCATTATTTTTTCAGATAGGTTTTCAATTTTTTGCTCTCTCTCTCTTCTCCTTTTTACACCCCTATGATGTGAATGTTGGTACGCTTAGGGTTGTCCCAGAGGCTCCTTACACGATCCTCATTTTCTTTAATTCCTTTTGCTTTTTTTGATTGGGTGTTTTTTGCTTTCTTATATTCCAAATTGCTTATTTGATTCTCAGCTTCATCTACTCTATTGTTGATTCCCTGTAAATTATTCTTCATTTCAGTTAGTGTATCCTTTGTTTCTGACTGGTCCTTTTTTATGTTGTTGAGGTTCTCAGGAAGTTCATTGAGCATCTTATAACCAGTGTCCTGAACTCTGTATCAAGTGGATTGCTTATCTCCATTCTGTTCAGTTCTTTTTTAGGAGTTTTATTCTGTTCTTTCACTTGAGGCAGGTTCCTCTGTCTCCTCATTTTGGCAGCTTCCCTGTGTTTGTTTCTTATGTATTAGTTAGAGCTGCTCTGTCTCCTAGACTTGGTAGAGTGGCCTAATGTAGTAGGTATCCTATAAGATCCAGTGACATAGCCTCCCCTAGCACCCAAGCTGGGCACTCAAGTTGTGCTCTTCTCCATGTGGGCTGTGTACATTTTCCTTTTATAGTTGAGCCTTGATTGCTGTTGGCACATCAATGACAGGATATACCTCCAGGCTGATCAGCTGCAACTACTGGCTACAACCACTGAACTCCGACCACCGTGGAGGATCAGCTATGCAGGGGTCCATCCCACAGAGCAGGACTAACTTCAGTGGGGCTCTGGTATCTGCTCAGTCCTCTCCTCGAATGTGTTACTTACAGAGGTGGTTAGGTGGTGACGCTTCAACATGGTCTGAAGCTGTCCACTGGATGCGCTGCCTCTGGGGCCTTCCAGGATATGCAGGCCAAGGTCATTTTGGGTGGCCCTGTGTTCTGCTCAGGGCCACCCGAAATGAACTACAAAGCAATCTGCAGATGGCTGCTACTTGTGCTGGGCTTGGGCCACTTATTGAGAGGTAAAGGACACGCTGAGGCCAGATGCTGCTGCTTTGAGAGATTTTAGGAAAATCTGAAGCAGAAGACAAGATAGGCCATTTGTATGGAAAAGCCACTGGAAACAGCTTGTGTGGGCCTGAAAGCCGGGTGGGGCAGGGTCTTAGAAAATCACCAGGGTGGGGCAAACAGTGTGAGCCAGGTTGATGAAGTTTCAGATATGGTGCCTGGACTTTACGCTAATTTATTTGGTATGGTTTTCAATTCATTTTCAGTTAATTTATTCTTTATTTTGAGATGCTTAAGCGGTAAGAAGTTAATTTTAAGAAAGGGAAGTCATTCTCCAAACATTTTTCATTATAAATAAATAAAAGCAGGTGAAGTAAAACCAAGTGTAGTACATATTTTGATTGAAGACAACATTTATATGAACAGAGAAGGATTTAAATAGATAGTTGCCAAGTTGTTTAGAATTGTTAGAATGGTTCATATTGCAGGTGTTATTTATGCTATCATTTTACTTTTTTACAATTTCCTTTTTTCTGTGATGGTATGTACTGATATTGTAATAAAAATATAATTAAAGAAGTGAAAATAATAAGAACAATAAAATGAATAAATGAGAAACTTTTAGAGCTTGGGGATTTTTTTTTTTTAATTTCTAAGTAGTCACTCAACTGCATGCCTTATTTGGAAATGGTCTGATAATTTTTTTAAAAAATTAACATGTTCCTTATATCACATTTTTAGCCCATAGCATCTTCAATACCTTTCCATGTCAGTACAAATAATTCTACCTTATTATTTTAAACACATTTTACTATATTATGACATTTTAAAATAATACCCTACTAAATTATTAGGTATCTTATAATTGTTCACTATTATAATAATAATAAACATTCTTAAATTTATTGCTTTCCACATATGTGTGTATTCCTAGGAAAAATCCCTATAGATTAAAATGCTTGAGCATGTTCATTTAAAATGTTGACAGATATTCCCATATTGCTTCCACAATAGTTGTACCAATTTCTGTTTCTGTCATAGTGCATGAGAAACTCTTATTCCAAGGATAATCATTTCAATCAATTCATTATTTTTACTCAATTGCATTTCAACCAGCCTGTATCTTACCATATTGCTTTTGCTCAAATCAAAGACCCTAACTCCTGACATTTAGAAAGATCAACCAGCACCTTCAAACAATTCCCACATGCATACCACACCCTTCTTTAATTTTAAAGAAAGCAATACAAATTTAGTGGGTGCTCACTACATACTCATCAATCATGCAGACTATTATTCTTTAGGAACTTCTTGTCTGATTTTATATTAAATCATTTTTATCATCAATGCCATTGAAGAAATTATATCTTTTCTGGCAGTATGTTTTGTTTATGTACATTATAATATAAAATTCAGTAAGTTAGAGACTTTTGCTTGCCTTGATAATTTATATACCACCAACGCTTAGAACAGTACCTCAGTGGTAGTAAGCGCCCAATAAATATTTACTGAGTGGAAAGTGTAAGTTTAGTTAGTTTAAATTAAGATGGGATTGATCTCAATTTTGTCAGCCATGTAAGTAACATTAACTGCCTGTCCCTCAATCACTCACACTTTGAAACTTGAAAAGATGAAAATATAAGCCCTGTGCATATTTATTTAGTAAATCCACCCAGTGGCTCAAGGAAGATTTGGAAAATCACCTAAAAGCAGAAAGGTTCCCTTCTTAGCCCAGCAGAACTTGAATATTGCATGATTGATAGTAGTCACATGTCTTACAGGAAAATATATCTATCAAAGTATATAGTAAAAGAATATGTAAAGGAGCTTAGAAAAAATATATAGTCACCTTGACAAACATGGAAAGTGCCCATCCAAGTACTATTGAGGGTACAGGATATATCACCCATTGACTTTGAATATTTTCAGTCTTAAAGGCAAAGTTATTCTTAAGAGCATACAGAGGGTTTTAGCCAAAGACCTTTGCGTTCCCTGGTACCTTGGCAATCTCATTCCTAAAATGAGATGGGTGTATCAAGCCATCTTAGCCTGATGCCATTAACATTCCACTCCACCACATCTGCTCATTCTGATTCCATGCTCACCAGGCAACCTTCTCATTGTGATACGGCTTCCCACGGGGCCTGCCTCCAGGGGCACATGTACTGCCTCTACAAACTGCAATTATTTGATAGCTGTGGATTCATGGTCCCTCATGATTTTGCTCCCCATTCTGGTTTACTAGGGGGAGAAAAATTAGCTTGTTGTGCATTATTTTAGTTAGTCTGAGACAATGTCTCAGGACCTGACCATTTCTGAACACTAGCCGAAACAGGAAATGTCTGGGGCGAGGGGAGACCAGATCCTAGAAAGTGCAAACCTCATTGACTTATGACCTAATAAGTTCCTGCCTACTTTTAAGCAGTCTTCCCCAGAAAATGTGCCACCACTTTTGGTTTAATTTCCCTTGCTTTCTGATAAACTGCTATTTAGTTATAATAAGTTCTTGTAAAAAGTTGTGCATAAGCTGAAAACCATATTAAATGGATTAAAATAGTAATCATTTTTAGTAATATCTATACTTTTACTGTGAAAAAAATCATTTATATGGATTACTTCCTTAGTGTTTGTCAGCGTTAGATAAAAATATCTTAATTTCATATATCTTCTGTTTCCTAAAAACTAAATTCACTCATTTGAATGTAATTACTATTGTATTATGACCTTGGTTCTTAAGCTGGCAAATGTTTCTTCTCTGTTAGAAATGTAAACAATACCCTCCCTAGTTACTCAGTGTCTTAATGATATCTCCCTGTTTAAGGAACTCATGTTTTGTAGTTGCTATACCTCCTTTCCATGCTCTATTAAAATAACTGAAAATTACCTGAGACATAACCTTGAAAAGCAAGCAGAGTCAAGCTTCTGTTTGTGATTAATCCAGCATTTTTTAAAGATAGACATTCTTTTCCTTCTCTAGCCAATGTTCTCCAGAGTCAAACTTGAAGCAATTTCATACACTGATGGTAAAGTAAGTCAGCATGCAAATGAAAACCTATTCTTGGAAAGTTTCATTTTCTAAGTTTCATGCATTTAAAATTTAGAAGCAGTCAATACTGGGTCTATTCTGGTAGAAGTCATATCTGTCTATAAAAAGTTCTTCTTTGTTTTTCATACAACCCTTCAAATTAATGAGAGATCACTTTATAGTATTAAGAATCTATTCCTTATTCTTTTTGTTCACTAACACATAAATTATAGCCTTTCCCATTAGAGTAAGATAATTAAATAGGACATCGTAAGTGCTTAATAAGTGCACTATACAAATTTCACCGAGTAGATTAATTAAATCTAGCACCTTAAATATTGTGATAACCTAATATTCTAATCAAGAATAAAAAGATATTTCCTGAAGAAATAACATTTACCCCAATGGGAAATGGAGCTTCATTTTCCAGCGGTGAAGTTTTTGATCTGGACCCTGAAGTGACCTTTGGTACAGCTCCGACTGCACGATTACTGGGAAGAGGCTGTAATCGAACTGGAGGCTGCATAATTCCTGGGGCAGTGTATGGTCGAGGGGCTGTCTAGACAATTAAGAAAAAAAATCCACTTAAATTACTATTTTGACATGTTTCCAGAACCAATTAATAACCCAACAAATTGACTAGAGTAATTAATGGTGCCTTTTTACTGAACAGATTAAACTTTAATTATGTCCTTCCATTATGCATGCCCCTATGACCCAAAGTATTTGTTAAAACATATGGTGTGGAAGTCCTCTACATAACTAAATGCCACAGTTACAGAGTATTCTAGACAAAGGAGATATTTGTTCTCTATTAGGTTCCTGTATTTTATTCATACCATAAATTCACTGACAATACCTAGTTTATGCTGTGCATAGAATGACTTTGCTCAATTAAATGCTAAATTGAATAATGTCCCTATTTTAGAGATCTAAAGAGATACGGCTGGAATGGAATCATTTCTATTTAAATGTTTTCAACATAAATTCTACAGAGAATCTTTTAAGTCTTGAGATTAGTGCTGAAGTATAAGCACTGTGATTGAAAAAAATAGAAAAAGTAAATGTCTAACCATAATGCATTATTATTTAGTCAACTTCTTCCCTGAAATGTTAGGAAAACAAAAGAGAAAAATAGTCACTGGCAACTTTGGAAAACTGTGAAAAAAACGGAGATTTTTTTTTTTTTTGGCAGGCCATGTATTTCCCACTGGCTCCTCTTTTCTGCCTTCTCTGCCCTGCTCTGGTCTCTGGGAGTCATTTCTTCATGGACTAACCAACTAACCTCAGGAGTCCAGTTAGACTTGGCCAATGAAAGGCACAGATAGGAGATCAAAAGACAGGAAGAAAAGAGATTGGGGTCTGAATTCTTCTGGTCCCTTCCCACCACCGTGATGGGCCAGCTAGGTCCTTCCACCTAAGCCCACAGCTCTGCCAGGAAGTCCTCTCCTAGCTTACAAGCAGGAGAAGTTCTCTCTGCAAACCCTCCCTGTTCACTTTAGGCCAAGGTGGAATAATTTCCCATTGGGCTGACCCCAGTACGCTAAACATCCCTAGTTGCTTTTCCTTAACCCTGCCTGAATCTTTGTAAATAGTTTCTTTTTTAAACCCTTCCTAATTACCCTATTTGTGTGAGCCATCTGTTTCCTGCTGAGATCCTGACTGATACACTTTCTAATCAGGAATATGCTGCAGAGAATACCAAAAGTGCCCGTATGAAGCATCAGCAGTGTCTTCTGTGGCGCTGGCAGAACATATGAGTTTAGTATAAAGATCAGCAATGTTTCAAAAGTGAAAAAAAACAAGACTTTTGGCCCAGTTATTCTATTATAATAAAATGGTAGAAAACCCATTCAGAATAATATATGCATATTTGGACAGAAAGGTATGAGGATAGTATATAAATGATTCATAGTAAGGTTTACTACCTTAATTCTAAAAAATGGTGAACAAAATATTCAACTCTGTGAAAGTGTAAATACATTTAAAAAAATGATAGGGCAGCTTCTACCACCAAAAGTTGGTCTTTGTGCCATCCTGACACAATCATGTCATATGTACTAAATCTCTGGTTTTAATAAGTCAATATTTATTGGATTCCAATTATAGGCACTAGGAGGAGATTAAAAAGCAATTTTTAACATCTAATGTTGACATAAGACAATTAGTGCCAAATGAACCACACAAATACTGCCAAAGAGAAAATACAGTAAAATACCTGAGAACTCACAGCACTTAGAACTACAGTTACTTGGAATAAGCCAATGAGACTAAAAAATTAAAGTTTCCCAGAAGCAGTTATATGTTACCCAAATGGATGAGCAACAGAAGAAAATGGAGGAGCAGAGAGGAGGAATGGTAAATCTGAACATCCGAGTGAGAAGAGAACACAGATAGTATTCCCCTAGCATCTGTCTTCCTTTCTTCACTAGTAATAGAATTTTTATCAGGAAACATGGCTATTACAAATCAACACTGCATTTTCCAGCATCTCTGGCAACTCTGCATAGATAGATGCCTCAGTTTGGACTACAAAGATGTGAGCAGAAGCGATACATGAAACTCCCAGGTCATGCGCTTAGAGAGGAGTCTGAGCTTTCAAGGACACTACAGAATAGAGATGGCAACAGCAGTTGGGATTCACGCGCATGTACTGGGGACGAGAGGGCGTCCTTATGTTCACTGCACACAAACCCATATCCCGACCACCTCAGGAAACCAATTCTAGTCAATCAAGAGACTGACTAGAACATCTGATTTCATGAAACAGAACATAAGCCTATGTGAGCCCCAAAAAGAAAGGCTGTAAAACCCACGAAGAAAAATGAAGCTAGAGGTTTCTGAACAGTGAAATCAGGTCACCCAAAAGAATTCCTTTGAACTCTGTAAAACAAAAGTGCTTTAAGACTCTCTCCTGTCAAATAATCCAACTGAACACAAAAACACTGAGAATCTAACGTAGGAATTCAAAAAAGCAGGTTACTATAAACTAGAACATGATCAATTGGCTGTTGTGCTCTAAATTTTATTTCTCCACATTTGCATACAGATACTCAGTTAGATGGATGTGGCAGTCAAATGTTTAACTGATTACATTTATCTCTAAAAACAAATCTGCACCATTCAACTAACAGCTGTGAGCTACAAACTGTTGTAGTTCACATCAAAAGCCACCTTAAATTTGCTATATTTCAAATTGCTCATACTATATTTTCTTGGAACAAATATGCCACTATAGCTTAACATTTTCAAATCTGTACCACAATGTGAATCAAAATTGACTACCTGGTGATTATTCAGCTTAGCTGAGCATTTCTAATTCTTAGTGTATGTACTCTGGGGGTGAATCTTCCAAGCCTGTGCAGAATTAGTGGAATGACTTTCCAGAGTTTTACTGGGAACAATGCAGCTAAAAGCCTATATGTTATTTTGAAAACTTAGGTGCAATTAGTGGCCAAATGCAATAACTATTCGCTGGATACTTCCCTTATTCACTCAAGAAAGTTAAAAGAGAAAAATCGATGGCAATCTCCCAAAAGGATTCGTATCTTCATTTCAATGGCACTTGGAGGTCAGGAGTCAAATATAACTGATATGTATCCAGGTTGGGAAAACAAAGAGGAGGACTTGAATTTCTGTAGAATGGGAACTACAATGCCAAGATCACAATAGGTATCCCTTACAGTGCAAAAGCACCGTAGGGGTGACCAAGGGAAGAATTGCGGCTTACCAGCTAGAAAGGCTTCTGAAGTGCTGGTGTCAGTGTTTCCTGTAATTTTTAAATTACTTTCTCATTCCTGCCACATTAAGATCTCCTGGATGTATCATAAACTACTTATTGAGGGTGTTCAGCTGGAAAATTGAAAAGAAAGCCTTTCAAGGGTTTTTCCTCTCTGAAACAGGTGGGAAGATAGAAAACAGCACTTGATTGTTTCTTTTGTTTCACCCAGTTTAAGCTTTTGAGAGTCTAGTAAATTTGCCACATAAAAAAAGGATAATTTGTATACATATACATTTAAATGGAGCCTGGAAATATGGTAACAAGAAAGGGAAGGCGGTGGCTTTTCATAACTTGAGCTGTTCACCCAGAAATGTCAAAACATATTTACCTTCTGAAGAATGTCAAATCTTAACACTATATGTGATGAACCTGCATTAACAATCTATGAAAGCACTGCAATTTCTCTATAAACACTGTGAAATCCAAAAAAAAAAAAACGTTGGCATTAACAAGGAAATGTATCAGGCTACACAAAGCAAGAATAAAGACTAATCGAGCAATTCATTTACAACTTAAACCATCAACCTCCAGCAAATATTTTACAAATCTTTTCTTGTATCTATATTGTTTCAAGTTACCTTTCTTTCCTTCAAGCGAATGCCACCTCTAGGTTATAAATGAATCAAAGTGGAAGGAAAGGTCCGTGTGCAATTTCTTTAAATAGAATTTCTGCATATTTAATTATATTTATCTTAGAGTATGTATACCTATTTTTGATAAATGAAACACAAATATAAGTATCTGGCCCAAAATGCTATGGAGTACCACTCAATTTGTGTGCATAAATAAACTCTACACATAAGGAGAGAGTAGAGGGAACATCAAGACAAAATGCAGAGGTCAAAAAATAGAGCAGGAACATGTAACAACTAATGTTTCCATTTTGCTGCATTGCAGGTTGCTAAAGGGTAATTGTGGGAATAGATAAATTGAGCTCACATAGTTTAGGGTCTTCAGTGTCAGGTGAAAGAGTCTGTGATTTTCTATAGGTGACACAAAGCAAGTGAAGGTGTTTAGGCATGTAAATAATGTAAGTAATCTGTACTTAAAGCCAGTGGTCCCCAACCTTTCGGCACCAGGGACCAGTTTCAAGGAAGACAATTTTTCCAGGGACAGTCAGGTGGGGGACAGAGGCACGGAGACACAGGCCTAACATGTCTGCACATTTGTGAAGCTTCTGCTTGCTTGCCCAACCCCACAGGAGGCTGAGCTCAGGAAGTAAAGTGAGTGAGGCTTTAGGTCACTCACCCACTGCGCACCTCTGTGCGGCCCAGTCATAACAGGTCTCGGAATGGTATCGGTCCTCAGCCCCAGGGTCAGGGACTCCTGCTTAAAGCAATTTAATCTAGCACTAACTACCAAAATGAATTCAACAGGGGTGATATTGATCAAAGGTGAGGCATTCCGTAAAGACAGAGTTGAATAGATATAGGACTACGTTTTCATTCAGCAGAATTCTTAGGATTATACAGACGTGTACCCAGAAAGCATTCTTTCTGAAAGTAATAAGAAATTATACATTAATTACTCAGGATGGTGCATGACAGTGCTTACTATGACTCACCAGTGTTACTGGACTGGAATGTCCTTCCTCAACCACAACACTATGGCCACGGTTAGTCTTTGGGCCCGCTGGGGGGTGGGGAGACAGCACCGGCATGTTTTTTTCTATAGACCATCTTATGGGCTCTCCCTAGAATAAGAAAGTAATTTAACAAATTGATGCATAGTTAGTAATCTAGGTTAGGTGTTAGTGCCTACCCCCTAAAAAAATACTATTATGACTGAAGAAGTCCTTTATCATTACTTCTAAAATGTTCCTTCTCAGGCCTAGAATGATAGTCAGAAAACATTTCCACAGCTGTACTGGGGAGTTCGGGGCAGTAGTGAAAGGCAGGAAACTGAGTCTGTTTTATTCAAAGAAAGAGTTGTAAAAGAAATAGCTACAGGGGCCGTCCATCCTCAATTTTAGCAAAAATATTTATTAATCTGCTTTAAGCCGATCACTCCAAGAAGCATAGAGCTCCTCATTACTCTGATCAGTAGAGAGTACAAGAAAAGTATTTCTTTTCTACCTCAAAAAAATTGTTAAACAATGCCCCAAGCAAAAGGGTTGCATATTACCTGAAAGAGGCCAAAATTAGGTCTTTCACTAAGTGTGACTCTAAAGTGAAAACCGTTACAAACTAAAAGCATGGAACTGGTGTGGGAAGAACTGGAGTGTCTATCACAGATCTGCCAATGCTTTAACATGCCCCTCTCTCTCTCGCAGTGCGCCTGGCAGTCCGGGCGCGAGTGGGCCGCACACTGCCGCGGGCAGTGCTAGTCACTTTTTATTTCCAGTAACCATTTTTCTCCATCAACATTTCAGCAGTAAATTATAGAATCTGTAACTCAGTCCTTGATGTAGGACAATATTGGCCAAGTTGAATTAACCACAAATCTCTACACACTAACTCTTCTGATCTTGAAAAACTGACCTGTCGTCTGTTATTTAACAACACCTTTGTAACAAGATTATCTTTTGACCATGATAAAATAGACATATTTGAGGCTATCAGGCCAGAGGGAAAAATTACTGTCTTATATGGCAAGTTATTCTATAGAAGCTTTACAAATATTCATCAGTCTGTGAAATGTGTCTTGGGCCTCACATTTGTAATACGACACAGAAAATGAAGAACAGCATGTGAGTTTGCATGGCTCCAGGAATTGAGTAAAACTGCCAACCTAGACTGAAACCTTTCAGACATGCCTAATTGATTCTCTCATCTCAATTCAAATTTATGTATTTCATACGTTCACTTCAAAGAAGGATATCAAATACAAAAATAAAAAACAAACAGGGAATTTTGAAATGCCTGGTGCAAAATGCTTAAATCTTATGCTGTTGTTTGCTAAGGTAGATTTTTCCTACCACATATTCTGAAGGGTCACAAGTGAAAATGTGCCATTGGGTAATTCTTAGAATGCCCTGTTTTCCATCACCTTGGGAACATAACCATCTATTTTTACTTTCTTAAGAAAAAAAATCCCACAGCTTCTCTTACATATCAGTCAAGAAAATACAAAAGCAAAGTTCCAAACTTGAGAAGAATGTTTTAGAGTTTTCCTTTGAAAGGTTTATGCCTTATAAACTTATTTTGCACGGGCAGCTCCTATTTTGTCATGATCTTCTGTAATAACAGTGGCCAAGGTTTAAGCGTGGTGAAACCAGCATTTGACCTCAGCTATGAGTTACCCCAGAGAAAAGTGCCCCAAGGAACATCAATAACAGCACCATTAGCTTTCCAAATCATAAAATAATATTATGAAGTAAAAGAGGCTTATGTAACTACTTACCTTAAATCTCTGAATTCGCTCCTTTCTAGCTAAGGTCTCCAGTTTCTTTTTAATTTCAAGCTGATGGTAACGCTAAGCATACAGGAAAGAATGGAGGAGAGATTCATATCAATTACAGCCACAAATTTTTTAGAGAAAAATAATTCTCCCAGCTAACCATGTTCTCAATTACCCCTCTTGTCCTTGAGATGGAGAAGAATCACCTGCTTTTGTGTGCAAGTGGGAATATAAATTGGTACAACTCTTTGGAAAGCCAATATAACATGTATCAGACAGTTAAAAGTGTCCCTACCCTTTAACCAGTAAATTTTATGTTTAAACTTAGGAGGAAATCTGATTTTTTAATAAAAAAAAATGTTATGCACAAAGGTGTTGTCTAAAAGGTGTTTTTGTTGTCGTTGGTAGTGCTGTTCTCTTCAAAACAAAAAGTTCAGGAGCACAATAAACCTTAAAAGAATAGTTAAGTTTTGGCACATCTATATATAATGGAATAGAATATAATCATTAAAATAAGGTTCATAAAGAGTTTGTTTAAAAAATGGGGAATACATGTAATACAGAAAAAAGGATACAGAATTGCACATGAATGCACTTTAATTCATCAAGTTCATATTGTGTGCCTGTCCCCAGACTAGAAAGGTAGGTGTTCTGTGCCTGTCATCTTTTCTGGAACAACTGTAATTGCTAAGCTGTCTTATTTTACAAATGAAGAAACTGAGGCAGAGGATCATCAATTCGCCCCCAGGCCACACCTCTGGCCACTGCTTGAACTTCAGTCTATCTGACACTAACTACCTATTTGTTTTTGTTTGTTTTTTCACGAAACTTTGTTTCTCTCTAAATACAGCATGTTTTTATTAATGTATAATATGAATGGAGACTAAAAGAAAATGTGATTACGTAAACAGCAGTTATCTCTGAGAGGAGACATTTCCTTTTTTATGCTTTCTCGTGTTTTTGTAATTTTCTATAATATCACATAATTGAAATATAAAAATCGTGTAAAAATAATCTGCTTATCACTCGGGTTGAAATCGTTCAGGCACATCTGGGGGCATTGTAAAGAGTGATCTTTCTCTGCTCCCGAGCGGCTCCTGCCGCCCCGAGACCCTGCGGACCCCGTCGCCCCGACCTCACCGTCCCACCCGCTTTCTCCTCTCGCCCTTTGCAGCTCTCTCCCGCTCGCACCAAGCTTTAGGACACTCGGTATTAACCACCTGCCATCTCCCATTTATACCGCGGTCATCCACTGCCACCGCCCCTCCTCTTCCCCGTCACTGGGATTACTTCCACTAAGGCCACCCACGTCTTTGTCCTCTGGGTCACGCCTCATTTCTTGTGTCCCAGTACTCATGTCACTCAGCCACTCTGCCGCTCTCTAGAACCTCCGGCTTCCAGGACATCACCCGACCGGGCACCTTTTCTCATCACCTGAAGGTTCTTTGCCAGCCTATGTTGTTGTTCCTGATCGGCAGCGCACACGGTGCCCGCCAGGCGGGAGGCCTCCGCGTTTCTCGGGGCCCCTTGGCCTGCCTCGCTCAGCCGGCGTCCGTCTCTCCCTCCGTCTCTCCCTCCCCGTCTCTGCGGACAGCTGCGTCTCCCCAGCACTTCCACTCCTGCTGTCAGCCCACGCCCTTTGGCAACAGCTTCCTAATTGACCTCCCACCTCCAGTCTTTTCCAGCTCATTAATCCATCTTCCACATTTTTAGCAACATCATCTTTCTAAAACAGCTCTGCTCATTTGTTTCACTCCCCTGCTAAACAGTGTTTCACCACCTCCTCACCTACACTCCAGACCTAACGTGCAATGGAAGGCCCTCCAGAACCTGGGCCCACGCTTTGTGGAGAGTGTCCCTTCCCGCCACTCTTCTAACCAACCCATTGTGCAGTCTGGCCTTAGGGAGCTTTCCTTTCCATCCGCAATGTCCTCTGGAATGCCTTTCTCATGTTTTCATGTGGTGTCTCCCTCAGTTTCCGAGGTCCCATTCAAATAGCAGGACCTCTGTGCAGCTTCCTCTGACTGTCACAGAGGCAAGTCACCAGGCCTTTCGGTTCTGAGCTCAGACTGTCTGTTCCTTTCTTCTATCATTTGATCACTTTCTACAGTATTTTTTTTAAAAACTGTGTCTCCCAGCTATACATCACATAGCCTCATAATGGTATATAGTAAGCCTACAATTAATGTTTGTTGTATGAATGCATGAATATGAATATAATAATATTAGTAAACAGCACCAGCCTAAACGAAATGTGAGACAAATGTGGTAGTTTAGAAATATTCTGTTAATTAATTTATATAATTATATATTACATTTTACCATTTATCTATGATATCTATTCCAAACTTTAAGAATACACAAAGATGCTTAAATAATAGCATATTTAGCAGTTATAATGTGTCAGTTAAATGAAAGTTTGGAAAACCAAACTTCAAGGATCAAGACTAATACAGAGCTTGGCGCCTACTGATTAAGTTTGAAGCTGGGTGTAGATTAATTTTACACTGTACTATTTTTTTAATTAGTTACAGAATTTCAACTAATACTTTTCTAAGCAAGCAAGTTTGGGAGTCATTAATAATGATTCTATGTAACTAATGTACATGATATAAGCACAAAATGAATTCCTAAATTAACAGGTCATATACATCTTGAGTGAACACAGCATTTGCTCAATATAATGGTAGCATAATTTTCAGTGGCACTAAACTTAGCATTGGTTTACTGATGATTCTACAGTTGTTTATAAATGTTTACTGCACCCACAGGTCAATGATGTTATGAGCCAAGTTTTCTGATTTATTGCTGTATGTTCGAGCCAAGAAGTGACATGCTTTTTCACAGAGATTAAAATGGTGTTGATGCTTGAAACTACAAATTTCATGGAGCAAGGCTAAAATAATTTATCAAGCTAGCTAGATATCCTACTAAAAATGCCATGTCAGATTTTTTAAAAAGTTGTTGATGCTTCGATTGTAAATCCATGCTGACCAATGTGGCCTAAAGTAGGAGGGACAGCAGATGTTTCAATGCCTATTCCTTGCAATTTAGCATACGGCTGAGCTTCAGAGCCTTAAAAGAATAACAAATCCGAAATAATTCATGGCAGTAGAATTACTGATATTTAAACAGATGTCACTCTTTTTAGCAAATGGAAATTGAGGTACAGATGGTGAGGACTGGTTTGTTTTACAGTAGCCATTATGGAATAAAAATCTACATTTGTTAAATTAAATATCATGAAATATATAATGGTGTCCATACTTGTCTCAAACTGAAAAGGAGAAAAGCTTACTTTAGTCTGTTGCCTCCTTGCTACCTAGAGAGATACAGAGTATTTCTCAGGCCACTTTGTCCCATTCTTTTTAAATGAAATACAGGGAGGATACCCCTGCCTGCCTCTGCACACAGAAGTATTATTAATTATCATATTAGAAAATATCAGTTATAAAGAAAATAGTAAATGCTTGTACCTCTAGATCAAGAACCTTATGGAAAATAGCCTGGGCTAAACACTCCCGGATATATTTTTGGTGATCCCTCTTCATGATATTTAGTTTGTATTCTTTTTCCGAAAGTATTCTTCCACTTCTTGTGATCTGTCATGAATAAATAAAGCGCACATAGAAACACAAAGCAGAAAATGTATTGTTAGTCACTAAAAAGGGAGAGATAAGAGAGAGAGGCAGTGTCTCCTAAGCCTAAAGGAGTATGTTACTGTGGTTGATAAACTTTCACTTTTAATAAATATTTCATAGGGTAAAAAGAAAAAAGACAAAGGCAGTCTTATATATCCATCACTGTGAAAACACACACAGGTGGTACACTTGTTTCAAACAAGGTTTTCATTAGAGTCGCGATTTTCCCTTGATGGAACCCAGGTGTTCTCATTTCTTCTTTTGCAGGCTTTTGGGAGGATGGGGTGGGCTGCTACCTGGAACAGTAAAGTCAGAGCAGTGATCACAGGACTGATGATCTACCAGGAAATATACTTTGAAGGGCGAAACATGTGAGCCACAGAGGCTCTCATCAGTTTGTTTTTAAAATAATTGGCTTCATTACTTTGTTTTCACACTGCTTTTTCTTCTTCCTTCACTCTCCAGCCCAGAATGTAATTTACTTTGTTGTGATTCAGAATTTATTTAGATTATGCAGTGTCGTAGATATAAAGTATTCCAGATTGGTTTCAATCGGCATCACTGCAAGTCCCAGTAATGGTAGTTTCTGTTTTACATTTACAGTTCACCCTTGAACAACATGGGGTTATGACTATCAACCCCCATGCAATCAAAAATCTGCATATAACTTTTAAATCCTCCGAAACTTAGCTGTCCTTCATTATCTGTGGAGAATTGGTTCCACGATGCCTGGTGATACAAAAATCCATAGATGCTCAAATTCCTTATATAAAATGGTATAAATCAATGCATACAGCTGGCCTTTAGCATATGCAGATCAAAAACAATAAAGGTATTTATTGAAAAAAAGTCTACATATAAGTGGACCCATGCAGTTCTAACCTGTGTTATATGTTATTCAAGGGCCAACTGTACTTGTTTTTCTTTTCTTTTAATCTTCCCTATGAGTAATCTTCACTTTTTTTCCTATTTTTATATATAAGAGTGTTATTTTTCCTTGATTGTTCATCTTCTTCCTTTTCACTTAAGTAAGCCTGCTCTTCATTGAAGGTCTAATCCATGCCCATATAGTTCTTAATTTGGTAACTGTAGTTTTGTTTTTTATCTTTAACACCATTGTTGTGACATACTGCAGTGTTGTGATTAAGTTGTGCTACAAGTGATTGGCTATTGATAATCTTCTTTATGAATACAAATTCCAGTGGAAGAAAGGAGTGTGAACATTAATGCACAACCCATGGACAAATACTATGGGGACTGGCTTAGGCGGGGAGAGAGTAGGACTGAGTGGAGGTGGGAAAAGGGAGAAAGAGCAGGGACAACTATAATAGCATAAACAATAAAAATAAATAAATTTAAAAAATAAAAGGGTGTGGTTATAAAAAGTTTGCTTGGAATTACAGCTCAGCCACAGTGTTTGAAATGTGTTGTCCGGGGGACACCATGTCATGTGCTCTAACTGGAAAAATGTAGAGAATGCGATGCACTGTCACCCCCTCTGCATTTACACGTATCATGGTTCTCTCTCCCCTGGGAGGTGTCTGATCTCTCCAACTAGACTAGATGTTCCCATAGGGCAAAAGTTCTGAAGCTTGAGACTGCATTAGAATCACCTAGAAGGCAAATTGAAAAAAGGTCAAGATTTTGATGGGCGTTACATTAAATCTGTATATTGCTTTAGGTAACATGGTTATTTTAATTTGGTACAGCCACTATGGAAAAACACTATCGATGGTTCTCAGAAAATTAAAAATGGCATCACCATATGATCCAGAGACCCCTCTAATGGGTATCTACCCCAAAAAATCTGAAAACATTTACTTGTAAAGATATATGGACCTCTGCAGCCAGATGCTGCCAGCAGTGCAGACTCAATGTGTGGGAGTGGGGTGAGCTGTGGGAATGAGTCCTCCTAGCAACAGCGACCAGAGGACCTTCAGTGACAAAGCACTGAAATTTCATCAATTTGGAGCCCCAACATCCACTACATTCCCCTGGGAAGGGATTATAGGGGAAGAGGAGAGGCACCCACCTTCCTAGGGAACACAGGCCATTTTCTACCACCCCAAAGAGGTCCGAGAAGCCAGAGAAGTTCAAGAGAGTTAAAAAGAAAAAAAAAACAACTTGTGACTCAGCACCATGTACTGGAAAACAATAGAAAGACTTCTTATCAATCTACTTGAGAAGTGCCATTCATACAGAGATGCCTAGAGAGAGAAGGAATTCATTAAATACCATGAATAACCGATGTAACAATGCAGTTTAGAAAGAAAATGAAAAATCTCCAGAAGGTAAACAAAGACATGGAAATATGTGATTTAAATGACAGAGAATTCAAGAATGCAGTTATGAAAAAACTCAACAAAGTACAGAAAAAAAACACAGATAGGCAGTTTTAGTATACTCGGAAACCAAGTCAATGAACAAAATGAGTACTTTACCAAAGACAGTCAAACTTTAGGAAAGAAACAACCAGAAATTCTGGAGATGAAGAACTCAATAAAAGATAGCAAGAGTGATGCCCTGTCTGGCGTGGCTCAGTGGTTTGGGCACCAACCTGTGAACCGAAGGGTTTCTGGTTAGATTCCCAGTCAAGGCACATACCTGGGTTGCAGGCCAGGTCCCCAGTGGGGAGCGCATGAGAGGCAACCACACATTGATGTTTCTCTCCCTCTTTCTCCCTTCCTTCCCCTCTGTCTAATTTAAATACATAAAATGTTTTTTTAAAAAAAGATAACAAGAATGAACTAGCAAGCATAGGAATTAGAGCTGACCAGAAAGGGAAAAGAGTAAGTGATATCAAATATAGTAATCTAGAAATGACACAGAGGGAAAAAGAGAGACAAGCAAAAAAAAAAAAAAAATGAAACAACTCTAGAAGAACTGATTTTATCAGAAAGAGCAATATTAGAGTAATAGGCATACCAGAGAAGAATAGATGGAGGAGGGAATGGAGAGCATATTCAAATAAATAGTTGAAGAGAACTTCCCAAACTACAGAAGGAGCTGATCCTCAAATCCAGGAAGCAAACAGAACATCTACTTACCTCAGTCTAAAAAGGCCCTCTTGAAGGCATACTATATTAAAACAAAAATTAATGACAAAGAAAGAATTCTCAAGGCAGCCAGAAAAAAGAAGAAAGTAACCTATAAACAAAAGCCCAGCAGGTTATCATCAGAATTCTCAGCAGAAACTCTGCAAGCCAGAAGAGAGTAGAACCAAATATTTAAACTACTAAAAGAGAGAAATTACCAGCCAAGAATAATATATCCAGCAAAGTTATTCTTTAGGTATAAAGAAAAAAATAAGGTGTTTTCAGACATCCAGAAGCTGAGGGAATTTATCACCAGAAGACTTCCAATGTAGAAAATACCCAAGGGTGTGATTCTACCTGAAACCAAGAACAAAAGTTCACAAAACTACATGGAATATTACCAACGAACTTATAGCATAAACAGGGATAATTTGTGACAACAAAAACATAAAATGGGAAGGGGTAAAGGTTTGAATTTGTAAAGGAGCCAAAAACATACAGTGGAGAAAAGAAAGCCCCTTCAATAAATGGTGTTAGAAAAACTGGAAAGCCAAATGCAAAAAAACGAAATTAGGCTATGGTTTGTCTCCCTGTACAAAAATTAATTCAAAATGGATTAAGACCTAATTATAAGATATGAAAAAATAAATTACATAGAAGAAAACATAGGTACTAAACTTATGGACTCTGGTCTTAGAGACAATTTTATGAATTTGACCCCAAAGACAAGGGGAGTAAAGGCAAAAACAAAGGGGACTATATCAAACAAAATGCGTCTGCACAGCAGAAGAAACGGACAACAAAACAAAAAGGCAGCCAACCAAATGAGAAAAGATATTTGCAAACAGCTCCAACAAGAACTAATAAACTTAACACCAAGCAAACAAAAAATCCAATTAAAAAATAGGCAGATGACCAGAACAGACACTTTTCCCAAGAAGACATTTAAATTCCCCACAGATATATGAAGAGATGGGCAACTTCACTAGCCATAAGGAAAAATGAAATACTGCCATTTACGACACCCCTGAGAATATTACGATAAGCAAAATAAGTCAATCAGAGAAAGCTAAGAACCATATGATTCATTCATACGTGGGATATAAAACTGAAACTCAGACACAGACAGCAGTATGGTGGCTACCAGAGGGCAGGGGGATGGAGGGCAGTAGAGGGTAAAGGGCGCCAAACATATGGTGACGGAAGATGTCTGACTTTGCATGTGGGCACGCAATGTGCCATGCAGATCATGTATCACAGAAATATTCACTTGAAACCTATATAATCTTATTAATCCATGTCACCCCCAATATTTTTAAATAAAATTTAAAAAACTAAAATGCACTGGTCTCACCCCATAGTTTCTGACTCAACAGGTCTGGGGTGGAGCTTTAAATTTTGCTTTTTCTAAGTTCCCAGATAATGTTGAACATTGCTGCTTCAGGGAGCATAACAAAACGACTAGAGAAAGAGCTGGATCTTCCTTATTTGAGTTGCCATGCACATAACCAATGTTCAGTTAAGTATTTGTTAATGATGTTGATAAGTAAATGCAAAGTTCTTCCTATTTATACATGAGGCTCACATATTGTTATCCAAAGAAGTAATGTAAAAACCACAGTAATTACAACCACCATTTATTAAGCATTTCTAATTGCCACAACAATCAGAGAGGGCTGGGTATCATTATCTTTATGTTACAATTGAGAAAGTTGGAGCTGAGAAAGTTAAGAGATTTGCTAAAGAGTCTATGTCTTGTAAATGCCAGTGCCAGCTTTCAGCCAGGTCTATCTGATAACAAAGCCACAGGAGACCAAAAGCTCACCCTTCTGAGGCCTACCCAGCCAGAGTGCCAAGCACAGAAACAATTAGAAACGCAATGCATATCCTTTTAACACCATAGCAACATAGCAACGCCACTGGGTTTTAAGAAGGTAAACAGCAGAACTCTTTAGTCACACTTTCTAAAATTACACCCATTTCTCTCGATGGAAAGCTATAGTATTTTTAAAAGGTTTTCACATTACATTTAGAGGAACAGAAATGTTATGGAAATGGTAGTTTGGAACTAGCCAAATACATTAATGTATCAATAAACCATCGCAGAAAATGAAAGTTTTTAAAAATTCAAAGAAAAATTTTGAACTGTTTGTGTCTTCCACACCAAATTCTGTGATTATTAAAAACAATATATATACATATATTTTTTCCTAAAGACAGTAAAGTCCGTTCTATCCTTAATCCTTAATATTCTTAGTCCATAAACTCTGTTCCATATATGAGTTGAATAAATGAATGAATAGACAAAGAAGTGAAAAATGATGTTGGAAACTCAGGGTTTTTCCTCAATAATTTATAAATTGTAGTAGTCATTGTGACCCCCTCTCTTATCTTTTGAAACACAGCCTCACAAGGATAAATCAGAGCTTTGGAAAGGAAGCAATTTTTCTGAAATGGAGGTGGAGGGATATGTCACTAATTAGTTCAAAGAGAAAAACAGAAAAGGGAGGGAATTATTGGACTTAATGAAACAAAAGGGTGGGTAGAAAGTACACCAAATCTTACCAGCCCTGATCTTAAAAGATGCCGCCTTATCCTCGTATTGTTAAAATATCCAGCCAGGTGTTTGTCAGTAAGACTATTGTATGCTGCAAGTAATCTGAAACAGAAAAATGAAACCATTAAGGTTTTATGAAGTGTTGCTTGATAACCAAAGCAATCCCTGACTTCCTCATCCCCACACTACCCCTAGTCATTCATCCTGCTGGCCATTCATGTCTATGTTTAATAAACAGGTACTGCTGAGTAGCCACTGTTCTCCAGGTTTTATGGTAAGAACTGGGAGGTAGTCCTGACATTGTTTATCCTGAAGACAAGTGTGAAAATCAGATATGAACAATTAAATTGGTGTAAAAACATCCAAAAATAGAAATACGTAAAAAGTCCTGGGGATATGGAGCCAGAGAGCACCAGTTGTCAGGAATGTCTTCCCAGAGGAAGACTGTGGAAAAGTTGGGGGTCCTTCAGAGGACGTTTCATTCTCCTGTTGCACCCTGCACTCTAATTCACACTTACCCGCACTTCCTCAACGTGTTTCTTCATGTCTTCAGGGCGCCATGTGCAGTCCCTCCACTGCAAAGGACTGTCCCTCACCTGTTGGCTAGTGGCCTATACCTGTGAGGCACAAGCACCTCTCCTCCCAGGAGACATTTCCTGACACACTCTGGGTGTGCTGTTATGGTACCTTCCACTCCACTCCCCTATAGCCTTGAGTTGCATTACATGTCACACGGTATATTGTTGTTTCTTTCTCAGTCTCTTCTGAGACTAGATTTCAAAGTCAGGATAGTGTATTATTCTTGGCATCCCTACTGATGTTATGTATTGTGTTCCTAAATAATGATGCGTTCAATAAATGAAGGCACAATTTTGTCTGGGACTCATTCTCACTGGCATAAATTTCTAAGTTTAAGCTCAGCAGTTGTGAAGTTTTAATTTCCTCTATATATCTAGAAAATTTCATTAATTTCCATTCAGAACCAAAAAAAATTATTAATCTTTTATTTTTAGAGTTAATAGAGGACAAAATGGTTCCTTGATTACATGCTATACCTTGGCAGATGGTCAATCTAAGGCTATAAATAAAAGTTCAATGCTATTTTTTTCTGTTTTAACCTATACTTTATTAAACAGTATTACTTGACAGAAGTACATACACATATATACATGTCTGTATACATGTATGCAAGTATGTTCATATATATACATATATAAACATAAGTGTATGTATATACAGAGACAGAGACAGGCAGAGAATGTGAGCACACAAGCCTAAACACAGCCCTAACGGAAAACTGTCTTTAAAGAGATACATATCTTATTACCTGTAACAACGATTTACAATCTGTATATTTTATACGTAGCTGATCCTTAACTTATTCAAAGACTAGAACAGGGAGGCACTCATATGGACAATCGAGTAAATCCCATTAGCAACACTTTTACTTAGCGGTTTGCACTGCCTTAATTACACGGAGATAGAACTGTGACCTTTTCCTATCTCTTTTCTCTTTAACACCCCTCTCAGGAAAGTTCCATGCTGTCAAATGGTAAGGAAATTTTAATTTTGTGCACAAAAGAGACTGAAAAGCAGATACAAAGCCCAGAAGTCAAGGTGCCACATGAGGATTGCAGACATATGAACAAGCGTGGAAACCATTATTTCACTGGGTTTATGTAAAAAGACAACCCAAGGGCTTCAGTAATGCACATACAAAACTAGCTCCGATAATGCTTTGAAACTATCTTTTAAATGAACTGTCTTGGTGTCCTATAGTTCATCAAAGGTTTCCTGTCTCCAAAAGGTCAACATTGTATCCCTTACCCTTTCTGAATCTCAGAATATCTTTTCAGCAACTCATTTCAGAAAGGTGAGCAGGTGTCTCTCAGACCTAACAATCATGATTCCACAGTTCACAGATTCTTAAGATAAATCATTAGAATGATATCGTATATAGTCTTTTGTCTGTTTTTCAGGCTCAAGGGGTTTTTTTTTTTTTTTTGTTCTTTTTTTAAGAATAGTTTTGGAAGAGCTGTCAGACCTAAAACCCGATTAAATGAAGTAAGGTCAAAAATATGGGATTCCATGGACCTTGATTTCCTTATTAACTGATAAAATATGCCCTTCATTTAGTCCATACTTTGTAACATCTTTAATATTTAGGTTTTAATAACAATGCTTAGCCAGCTTTGGCACCCACCTCATTTTAATTCTGCTCTCTCAGCTCCTACTGAATGAACATGTGTGCACAATGCCCCTCCTCTCTCAGTTAAAGGTCGGACAGATTCAGGTTCAATCAAAACCTTTGTACACACCTGTTTTCATATCTATCCCTATTTTGGAATGATTAAGGGTCTAGGTTGGGATGCCATTTGTGAAGCAGCTCCTTCCAAGACTATCGTCACAACTTGAGGAACAATAACTACTGGATCTGCCCGGACATCATTTCTTCATCAGGCAGTGCCTGAATTACTTTTAACTGAAACGTCAGATTAATGAACTGTTTGATAACAAGAAACTGTACTAGAGTAAATTACATACAGATTTAGTAAAACGGTTGTTATGAACTAAATGTTTGTTTCCACCCCTCCCCCCAGAACTTGTATGTTGAAATTGTAGCCTCCAACCCCCAGTGTGATGGTATTGGAAGGTGGAGCCTTTGGGAGATGACGAGGTCATGAGGGTGAGTGGAGCCTTTGTGACTGGGATTAGTGCTCTTATAAGAGAGACCCCACAGAGCTCCTTTGTTCCTGCCACCCTGTGAAAGGGCCATCAAGAAGATGGCTATCTGTGAACCAGGAAGTGGGTCCTTCCCAGACATCAAATCTCCTGGCACCTTATTCTTGAATTCACCAGCCGCCAGAGCTACGGGAAACGGATTTCTGTTGTTAAGCCACCCACCGGGTGCTCAGCATTCTGTTATAGCGGCCGGAATACACTGAGACAGGAGCCCGTACTAACATGCCCATTGTATCCATATAAATGTCATGCCTGTTCTGACCATCAACGCTCCTTCCCAGAAGATGACAGTGCTCCTATGTCTGAGTCACACCATGGTCCCTCTGATCCTTTCCAGTTGCTCCTCTTCACGTCACTTGGTATGTGCTTGTAGCCTCCCTTGCATTTATTCAGTTACAAGAGCTTTTCTGACCCAGTCACTAACTTGGAGCTTTTCTGAGGTTTCTGCCTTTGTCCTCTCCATTCACTGCCACTGTTTTTCTTCCTCCCACTCTCCACCCTTTTCTTTCATTATTTGCACTCGGTATAACCCTGAGCCAGATGAGGTCAGCTCGCCCTCGCCTTGGTGACTGAGCTGCACCGTGGGCACTCCACTCCCTCTGCAGGTAACTGCCAAATCTGGACTTCCTGGTCACACCGCCTCAGTCCCACGATCCTCTCCTGCTGCCGTCCATGTAGGATCCACTACTGCGCCCACCAGGCCACTGTGACCATGTCACTCAAAGGCCCTACTATTTACACTAAGTCTCACAACTAACTAGCCAGACCAGTCTAACTCGCTGGCTTCTTTATGAGATGGATGAGACTATTTACTCACCCCCTATTCATTGGATGGAAAATGACCCACTTTCTGGCTCAGCGCCAGAAACAAAAGTCCTCAGGAAACAAATACACACCCTCCATCCCCATGGTGCCTGAGGGTTAGGGTTGTGGCTGCTGAGTCACTGGGAGTGCTGCCTTCCCAGCTGCAGCCTCTCAGCACTTAATCCTCGTAACCCGGCCTCCCACCATGTTGAATATAGAAACAGGGCTCTGAAGTAATGAAGTGAGCGATTCCTATCAAACTTTCCATCTGCCCCCACAGAGAGGGTGTCTACCCCATAAACACCCCAACTAAAAGGAGAGGCGCTGAAATATTAATCACATACTTTTTTTAAGCGCTGTTCTCACATCATTCTATAAGGCACTGGGACACAGAGATGGCACAGACCCTTCACTAAAGAGTCTGGTGGGGAAGTGTGCATGTGCAGAGTGTGTATGTACTTGATTCTCCCCTGTGTTATAAGCCAATTCATTGATAAATAGTTACCGAGAGTGTCTGAGTGTCCCAATGTCAGACCCTTTGCTCTAAGCTGGGAAAGAAGTGTAATGTCCCTATTCCATTCCGCGCATCACAAAGCACTTTCGCATACAAACTCTTGTTTTCTTGTAAATCCTTGGAATGCAGATTATATCTATTACAGATCTTCTCTCTTCCTAAAAGGGAAAAGCTCCCAACACAAGATTATCGTTTAATGTTAAGGCAGTCCTAGAAAAACCTAAGGTAAGGTACCATGGGTCAAAGGAATCCTTCTGGCCTGCAGCCATCTTGAACCCCAGCCTCCTCTCCCAGCACTGCCTGCCCCCACGCTGACCGCCCTTGTGGAGGGCGAGGGATGCAGCAGTTAACACTCCAGCTCCACTTCAACCCTGTCTCCACCACTGCTGCATCTGTAATCTGGAGCCAGGGCCTGAACTTGCCTCTGCCTCGATTGTTCTACCTGTCACACAACATTCTGCAAGTGATTATTTATGTATTCTCTCAGAAGAGGAAGCTTTCTCTCCAGTCTCTTTTCTTCCTGATCAGTAGAATCACCTTTAAAAGTCCCTTTGCAAACCATATATTTGATAAAGAGTTAATAAACAAAATATATATAAGAAATTCATCATGATGGAAAAATATAAATCATAAAATATTCTCAGAGAAATGTTATGCTACCTAGCATAAAGACAGAAAAATTTTAAATGAGGTGTCTTATAGACAAAAATGAACAAATACTTAACTTCCATTTCTAATTAGCCATAACATTAGTGTAAAAACAATGTACTGAAACCTTTAGATGTTCCTACTCTTAAATGTATATATACATTTCTGCAATCTCCTTTATTCTACAAATTTCCTTAGCAAACTTCTTCAGAGAGAATATAAAAAATAATGTTTGCTATAACCAGTTTTATTTAGCTCAAATTGTAACTTAGCCCATTTCAATTAATAAAGTTAATGTAGTTTACTATATTGCTCACATATTAGCATCTGAAAACACAAATTTATTATCCTGTAGTTCTGGAGGACAGAAAGTCCACAAATGGGTCTCACTGAA